AAATTTATTTATTATGAGTGTTTCAACATGTTGGGGAAAAAGATAACTGGACATTTTTAGACAACAATTTTATCATACCACACACTATTTAATGGAAAAGTATGCTAAAAATACCTAATATAAGCTGAAGTATGTTGCATAGCATTTTTGTTAGAAACTTAAAACCTTATACATCACAAATGAGCAGCCAAGTTGCAAAATGAAAACGAAAACATTTTACATCACAGGAAAGCAGAAAGTTTGAAAACAATATGGAAATGAGGGCATCCATTAACACATTTGAGGAAAATTTTCATACTTAGGTTATCCAGGTATGTATGGTATGTATGGTATGTATGTATGTATGGTATGCATGTATGGATCCTGGACAATACTTAAAACAATATGAAATGAGGTTCACAAAACCAAAGTTGTCTCCTTAGCAGTTATATCATATCATGCAGTACTTACTGAATGAAGACGTTCCACAAGTTGTTTTTCTTCCACAAGGGAATTGGTATTGAACCAAGCATCAAAATCCTAGGACAAAGCCCCAAAACAAATTAAATGATGTCCTTAAAACTAAAACCATACTAGGCAGCAGTTACCTGTATTTATTTCAAGTACTTGTATGCTCCTTCCAAAAATTTTGCTGTGTTCTGAGCAGCTTTAGTGATTAGTCTTACAAAAATAAATCATGTGGTCTTTTTATACAGGAGCAACTTACATCAGCCGAGCTAAAAACATCTGGCAATAGAAAGTTCAGCAATGACCACAACTCATGAAGATTGTTCTGCAGAGGAGTTCCTGTCAAGAGCAACCGATTTGAGGAACGGAGTTCTCGCACAATTTCTGAGAGCTGGAAACAAGATGAGAAACATTGTGATAATTCATTAGAGCACAACCACAAAAACTGAAACCATAGAAGTAGAATGTGGCAACCACACTTGGTAGATACATACTTTAGACTTCTCATTCTTAATTCTGTGTGCCTCATCTATGATGATATACCTCCAGGCAAACTTCTTAAACACTGCTTTCTCTCTTATCACCATTTCATAAGATGTTATACAAGTGTCCCACTCTCCAGGGAGCATGGTGTCTCGGATAAAAGCTGCCTGAAAATGTACAATAGTACACCACATCAGCCATTTGACCCATAGGAGTGATTAGTATCTACTTTCTCCTTACAATATCACCCACTGAAATCACTAATAAAAGCGACAAAAGAATAAAGGAAATGATCATAAACTAAAGAAGCTCTTGATTGTTACACAAATTCTCAGTGTCAGCACCTTGGGAAATGTATAGAAAACAGTATGGAGAATATACATACTGATATTAAAAATTTTGAGATGTTCCAGACCTTTGGTGGATAAGGAAGGGGGGGGGGGAGAGAATGCCATACACTTCCCAGTCCCCCACCCAAACCTAGCTTGGCAAGGTCTTGATTTACTTTCCCTTTTTTTTTTCCAGCAATTTACCTCCAACTCTAAATTTGTTCCTAAAGAACACAGACGTATTTAACTCACCCTTTGCTCTTGATTGCCAATGAGACAAACAGCTCGGATAGTCGGACACCACCTTTCAAATTCAGACATCCAGTTAGCTAGCGTGGACTTTGGCACAATAACAAGATGAGGACCTGCCATTTCTCTGAAATGCTTCATGTACCCCAGCAAAGAAATGGTCTGCAAAGTCTTACCAAGACCCTGTTACAATAAAAAAATGAGGTAATGCCTTTAAAGCCTGCTGGTGAATTAGCCCAAGAGCTTATTTTGATTTTTTTATCAAGAAGAAAGGCAAAATGTTATCCATCACAGGTTGTCCTAACAAATTCCTCAAGGGAACTCATGACACTCACAAAAAAGAAGGATGTTAACAATTTTCTCACCATCTCATCAGCCAAAATTCCATTGATTCCGTTCTCAAACAATGAGATAAGCCAGTTGAGACCTCTTAACTGATAATCTCTCATTTCCCCATTCTTGATGTCTACCGGAAAATACAAAGCCTTTGAGTTAATTACTGCAACATTTCATAACACAGGACTTCTGGAGCAGAAGTGTCATGACAAAACATGTTGGTAATTAAGCATTTTAACTCCCATGAGTGACCAAGACAAAATTTCTCCTTTCTACATCTATAAAATATCATGCAGGCAAGTGATGAGAATAAAGAAAAATATCAATCATGGGATTACCAATGGATCCAATACCAAATTCTCCAAACTAACATTATGAGAATCATTTGGCAGACAGTAAAGAGAATTACTAATGAGATCTTGGGAGTTTCAAAACTAGAGTGACTCTGAAAAAACCATTTTACTTTTATGCTTCTATTCAGTCTTTGAACTTGTGGCTGATTTACTCACACTGGTATGATTTTTTTTTTGCTCTTGTTCTTTAAGCCAATACAAGCAAGTTTTTTTGTTCTTGTTTGCGAGCTTAAATGTCTGTAATTACAGCATTTTGAAAAATTGTGTTTCAGTACAGATGAACATGATGAGGAAATTGTCTAAGTGCTCCTTATGACCAAAGAGGTATGTTTTTTCACCTTATCTAACAGGAAAATTTCACTTACAGTGTGGATTCTGATCAAAGTGAATCACAGATGTCTGTGAGTGTTTATTTTGACTAATCAGTTCCTCATCTTCTTCTTGCTCCGTGCGTCGATGGCGATGACTAAAAAATTAAATAAGTTTCAAATTGAGACAAACAATCCCAAACTCTGCAGTTAAGAGGAGTTCAATCACTTCAAACTCATTCGAGCTAGTGTTAGCTACAAAGTTTTCAGTGATGTACCAGTTATCTTAAGTTTCTTCAACTTTCAAAATTATTGACAGCCCTGCAAATCTGTTGTGAAAAGGAGTAGCATGTTTCATATAGCCCATTTTCAGTCCAATACTTACTCCCCACAGTCAGATAACTTCCTTGATCTGCTTGGAAACTGAGGTGCCTTCATTTTCAGTGGACTTGTTGGCTGTTTCTTTGATCTTGTTGTGTTCATGAAATGAGCAAAGATCTCTGTTCGTTTCAGCAGGTAATTAAACCTTGTGGCCTTGTCCCTTTCCTAGAAAGCACCAAAAGGCAATTATGTATGGGTCCTGAATTTCCAATTAATACCAAAAAATTGTTACCATGGTTATTCCCTTTTACTAGAAGAAAGCCTGTTGATCATTTCTTGTTTCACAACTCCTCAGATAAAAGAAAATTAATAGAAAATTTTACATTCTTTTATTAATTAACTAAACTTAAGCATTTTCATATCTTTCCTTAGAGATTTTATTGATCTGTTTCACATCAATTTAAACTTTTCCAAAAAAGGATTGGAATACAAAAAAGGAAAAAATTCTCTTTCGATGATTATTACAAATGAGGTAGGCATTGGAAAGGTAATGAACACAGAGTCAGTCATATTTGGTCTCAAAACTGACCAAAAATTTTTCATTCAGCCTCAGCTAATTTAGCCCATCAACTTCCCAAAGTAATTAATATGTAACTTCTCCCTATAATATCCACACATTATCTGGTAAACACGTAAGAGAATACTCAAACAAGAATAGAAGTTGTTATCTTGATCTAACACCAGATTCTCATAACTAACTTACCACGAAATGTGTCCTAGCTAGAGGGAAGAATTGACAATCACAACTTGGGAGTTTTAGGATTTATTTGTCACATATGGTTAGCAGAATGTGTCAGGAGTTGGAGTCCAATTTCTAGCTTTTATTTCAAAACTAGATTGAAATTTAGTCATGTCATGTAGCTATTCAAGCAATTCATACCAGTTTTTCTTCATATTCCTGTGAGGCACCTTTGAGTGGTCCAGGTTGTGCTTTAGGTTTGGGGGCTTTTTCTTCACCTCCTTCATCACCAGACTAAACAAAGATATTAACCCCCAAAAAAGTTATCAAACTATAAACTTACACAGAAACTAAATTATCTACCTTCAATGAGTGACACAAGAAATGTCAGATAACCATTATTTTATAAGGAAACAAACCTCTTGAGAGAATCAGTGACTTGAGAAATAAGCGATTTCTTTACTTCGTTCTAATTTTATTTATTTATGGTACACCTTGAGATCCATGATGAAATCTCCTTACAACATCAGATTGTTACAAAATGCTTCTACAAAGATAATGAAAAGTGAATGATATATTCAGTTTGAAGACTGGCAAGTTGTCTTGATACACAAGTGGTATAGCTCCATCGTAATAACATTAGAATGAAACTATAATGATTCAATAACTAGGAAACAACCCGCGATGGGTTGAAGTAAAGTAATTCTGAGGATACAATTGTCTTAGTTCAAATTCAATGGCCAAATGCAGGAATCCATTCACAACCACTAAAAATAAATTCCCCGGTTTCAGGTGATGCTTTTAACACGACAAAAGCTTCTGTTACTAAAGTTATACCAGGCAAATATGCGCGTATGGAAGTTTACTGTTTCACTTTTGATAGAAACAAAGACTTTCTTAGCTCCTTGGCCTGTCAAAGCTTTGTTTAGCTGCGTAAATTTCAGGTCTTGTGGATTATAGTCTCAATCAAAATGAAACATTTTTTTACTGGGTTAGGATCGAAAAAACTGACACACTCAATTCAATAGAAGTGCGCTGGATACATCCAGTTGAAATGCACATGGCCTTGTTTGCATGCGCGAAAGAATTGGCGTGACTTAAGATCATTTACTCGTGAAATCAGCCAACTCTAACTTCAATTCCGGTAAATTTGCCCCTAAAATGAGCCATTCAGTAACTTTTACCTCTTCTGGTGTTGTACTTTCGCTGCTGGACGATTCTCCTTCGTCGTAATTAGGCATGTTTCCAGTGGAAGAGAGAAAAATTACTTTCAAATCGGATAGCTGAAAAGCCGGGAAGATGATTTTTGGCGGCACACGAGAGAGGCTATTGATTAGCACCTCGAAATGCACTACGGGATAGTCTAGGGCCTAAGTCCTACCGGCTAGAGGTACGCCCGAGGAGCACTAGTAACGAGTTTTCCAGTCGGGTGATTATCAGATTGTCTCAGATTATTATTATCAATTTGGCGGACTATTCCAGTGACACCGTTTGCGATTTATCAATAATCAAGCGACGTGATTGAACCAGACATGAACATTATAACATGCTTTACATGTGAAGAATACATAATTGAGTTTAAATCAAGGAGATTTCGCTAAATTTTGTACGGCTGTTTCCTTCACTCTCGTCGATCTTAAGTTTCTTGTTCAGCAGAGTTTTAGCTCAACACTGTAGCCGCTAAGAGCAACGCTTGCAAAGGTAAACAAAACTTAGACACCAATTTTTTATTTTTACAGTAGCTTAAAGCCTCACTTGAAACTATTATATCATTTTGATTCTCTGTTTCCAAGTTCAAGATAAATAGAACTGAAGCTCTCAAAGTGAAGGCAGACAACAAGGTTATTTATTTACTTATCGTACACTACAACTCTTTTTCAATCAGCTCTGTTTCTTGTAGGGACTGTCAATGCTATTATTGAATCAAAAGACGACTGCCAGCCGACACATGGGAAAAAGGACTTGTGATGGAAGTTTTCTTGGAACAGGTTGACAACAGAGTTACAGTAACGGATGCTTTTTCAAATAAGGTAAATACTTCAGTTATCTGCCATATGAAGTGGAAGCAATGTGCAGATGACCCAGCTTTTATTTTCCATTATTTCTAATAATTTTACATGATAACAAGACCATATCCCCTTCACCCCTTCACCACAGGTCAAAATTAGCTTCAAAAGATATGTTCCAAGTGAGGACTGAATATTATTTTTTCCAGTCTCTAAAATTTAACCATATGAGGTTTCAATTTAAGAAGTGTTTTACTGAAAATGTATTCCTACTTGTGAACAATAACTGGTAGGGTCCCAGGTCTAGATTGCAGTAGACATGGGCACCAGTGGAACTTAAATTTTCTCACTAGTGACCAAAGTTTCTTGTTTAGTCTCCACACCTTGGTTGGAAACATATAATTCCCTTACCTTTTTCAGTTCCAAAGGGGAGCCAAACCTCAGAGCTTTGAATTTTTGTACTTAGAGGCTGTACAAACCCTTACTTCAAGGAACTCATTGGTGAATGACAAAATCATAGGTTACATACTATGACCCAATGTGATGATTACAATCAACACCTGCGTATACAACAGGCTGTGAAGATTCCTACTGACCTCTTCTGTGAGCCAAAAAGTTAAAAGGGAGGGGGAGGGGGAGAGGTTTCCACCCAAGGCTTCAAGACTCTCTTTTTTTGCTAACTATAAATAGCTTAGACACCATTAAGAGCTTTGTTTTTCCTCACCAAAACCAACATTTTCTACTGGCAAAAACTGATAAGCATTATTTTGGATTTTTAATAGCCACTGACTGTAAATATAGGGAATCCATTTACAATTGTAAAATTTTGTCATTCATTTTATTTTCTTAAAGGACCCATTTAATGAACCTTTTCATAAAAATCAAAAAGGTCAAACTTTACCTAGAGAGCCATTCCCTCTCCCAAAATAATGTATTGCCAACTGTTTAACAGCTCTTATGCAAGCCGTCCTGGCCAATCTTTCAGCTTAACCAGGAACTCTTTTCAACCTTGATGCACTGTTTTTGTTGGGCCAAGAGAGAAAATTTAAGGAATAAAACTTCAAGGATAAAGCTTAAAGATGATGTATATTACGATTTGTAAATAATTATAAGCCCTTTTCCTAGGGTCCTTTAGGAAAATAAAATGAATTACAGAATGTTTGCAACTGAGGATGAATTATTGATATTTAGGGTCAGTAGCTTTTGATCACCTTTTTTGTTTAATAAATTGGGTTACTTGTCCCCTTTTGATTTGTTTGGTCATTTTTGTAAGTTCTCAAAGGTTACCAAATCTAACTTAATTATTACAGATTCTAGTGGACACAAAATCTCTCATCAAGCATTCCTACCAAGAAACACTTGACAATGCCAGCAATGGAAAATGGATATTATGTCTAAAATATCTTGGAGATGATAAAGTGTTAGACACTCTGAAAACAAACTGGCTTCAGGATGTTATTACTTGATTTGATTATTATTGTCATTAATATTATTATTGTTTTGAGGTTGTATTTTTAAAACAGATAATGTTGCATTTGCTGTAAACTTAAAGGCACTACATTGTTTCACTCTCTATGAAGGTAAAATGTTACCCTCTTTTTTAACTGCTTTTTGTCAAATTTTTTAACATAGATTTTTTACCCTTTTTCATCTTTAATACCTCTTCTGAGTGATATTCTTTCAGTTACCTTTGGTTTGCAGTCAGTTAATGATATAATAATGGCAGACCTAGTGTCCAGCAACACATTACTAATATCCACTACATGTCATTGGACTTACCCCTAACATTGTACTTTTCTTGAAAAATAAACAGTCTTTGTAAAAGAGACCTTAAGCAAACCACCATGGCAACAGCAACAAAAGCATGGCTGGACAAAAGATTCAGTGAGCACACAAATAGCTCAGTATGTACGTTTTCAAATTTTATTTACTTGTTATCTATTCTCTGAAACAAAACAACATAAATCACTAAAATTTGCATGGAGTAAGAACAGAACCTCTGATGGCAAATTATTTACCTGTCATTGTTTAGAACTAAACCCTGCTCACTTTTCTTATGGCAAAGATGATGACTTGCTTAGTTAGAGAGGGTAATCACATCCACCATCCATTTAGTGGACATTTTTGTCAGCTTGCAATCCTGATTGCTTAAGATCCATAAAGATTTCTGTGGATTGACTCTTGTGTTTACAAATTACTTCTAATCACAATCATCTTCTCTTCCTGGTAAACTCCAATTTTCAAATTCTTGCTGGACATAATAACTGTTCACTCTCCACTTAGCTGGCTTTTTTTCTAATCAACATTAGTTGAAGACTGAAGAACAAACCCTTTTACATTTAAGTTTTTAAAAAACACTTTTTTATTTTAATTGTCTTTATTTGTGGGAATTTAAGAAGCAAGTTTTACATTAGTTTTGAAAGACTAAATATTCATTTCACAATCAGGTAACCCACAACTTATACTCTCTTAGAAGTGTAGGAAATTTGCGAGGCACCTCCCATTTTAAATTTTTGTGTTGTGAAGTCCTCGCCAAAGTAATGTGTATTTTTTATAAGGAAAAATCCAGTCTGAAATATATTTCTGATCAATTTTTCTTTCCAATTGTAGTTTATTTTATTGGAAAATACTGTTTGATAATTTCTAAATTGAGAAACATATTTGGCTTTTTTGAGTCTACAACATTTCAATTGATAGTATAGTTACAGCATCAAAAGCAGAGATGATGGACTTAACTAGAAAAGAAGGTTTTTGAAATAAGCTTTTATGAAGTGTTAAACAGGGCAACAAGATTTAAATTGAACTTCCTTGCAAGAATTGTGTGTTTTCACCCCATTGTCTCTCCTTATGTTATTAGCTAGAAGTTGTTCAGATTGCATTCAATTATTTTTTCCCATCTCTAAGATGATAGTATAAATTCTCTGTACTGTTCGCTACACAGTTCTTGGAATTTTAGCTTTCAGAATTTGGTGTTAGATCAAGCAAATACCCACAGATGTTAACTATTATTTTTCTGATCACCTTTCTGCTAAATAATGCATTGTATTGTAAGTAGAAATAACTTATTGAACACCTCTGGGAGTGAAAAGGTTTTTTTGTGGGGCAGGGGGGAGGGGGGTTAACCTAAATATATAATTTCCAGTTTTTATGTTGACACAGTCATTCTGTTACTGTAACATGCATTGAAATGAGATTAAAAGATTAGTTTGATTAAAATGTTTGGCTGCACAGGAATTGCAATTACTTGGTTTTTCAGATCAGGATTGTACAGATTTTTTAATTCTTCCTTAAGTGTTGAAAAGAAATGATGTAAAGACCTGAAAAGATTACAGGAAATTAAAAGGAAAAAAAAGGGGGGAAAGAAGTCTCTACTATAATCCCTAAGCCGCAACAAGTGGTTAATTCCAGGTGGAAATCTTTGTGATCTTTCTCTTGATCTTTTTAACCTAAATAATTCCTCTCTGTTTCCTTATTTGTTTTCTTTTGTTTAATTAGTAGTTTATTTTGGCCCTACGGTCTTCTGATTTCATAAATGTGGGATCAAAAAACATATAAATGCCATATTGGCCAAATTTTAAATATGTGACTAAGAACTTTTTCCCATTTATGTCATGTCTGTTACAGTTTACACTTTGTAAGATATTTCATCATTGGTTTTAGGTGTGGAGTGGAATTCTGTTTTTTATAATTGGAAGGAGAAAATCAATATTATGGGATATGAGGAGGGTTTTAAGAGGAATGCTGCATACCCCCCACTTACAATTTTTTTGACTATACCCTCATCCCCTGTTCAGGGTTAGAGGATTAGATCTTCTCTACTGGACTTGAGGCATTTTTCTTAGGTAAATTTACTTTATTTTTGTCTGATATTGATAAGGCTACATTTCCCCTTTTCTCATGGTTTTTCACTTTGGTTTGATTATTTTAAAAACAAAATGTAGCCATTCTTTAACAAAACTGCAACCAAAAAAATTCTGGTGCCTCATCTTCAAATTTTGCTGTGCAACTTATTGACATTTTCATTCTAAAATGCTCGTAACAGTCCCAAAATGGTACATTTGTAAAAAAATACACTAATATCTACAAAACAATGCAGTAACACCAAAAGATTTGTAAAAAATTAGTATGCTAAAAAATCTCGCACCTCTCACCTACAAGAAAAGCTTTTGACTTTGAGGCACGACTATTTGAGTTATAATTGTTTTTTTGCGGTACCACTCGAACCGGATCGTTGCGGTCGAAAAAAAAAGGAAAAACAGCCAAAAAGAAAAAAACAAGTGTTCTACCAAGCAATTTCTACTGTATTTACTCATCTGATCTCCAACCATATCTAAACAGAAAACTGTTCCGTGTAACAGTCTCAGGTGATCAAAACGTAAAGAAAGATGGAGAGAATTTTGGATCGAAACTAACCAATCATAAAATGACAAAGTTTCCTGAGAGGTCCGAGGTTTGTTTGTTTTCTCTGCAGGAAGCTTTGTGTTTTTACTTAAATATTATTGGTTCGTTATAAAAAAGTTTGACATCCTTTGTTCTCAATAAACATGTTCATTGGCTAATTTTCCTTCATTTTGATCCGGTTCAAATAATCTCACTGCTCTGAGCACTTTACAGATTTGCTTTGCTTTTATTCATGTTTTGAGTCATTGGGTTGATACTGTCACTGAGCTGGTTACCTCACTGCTATTTTGAATAGTAAGTGGTTCAAATAATTTCTTTTCAGTTTTTAATTAGAATTGCTGAGGCCTAAAGAATTATTAGCTCACATTTAGACTGACTATTGCTTAGTAAATTACGTGCCTTTTGCTTACCTGCTTGAGTGATGTTTGTATTGCGTAAGAGGTTTAACGTGCGTAGCTGACAGTTGTTGTTGTTGATGGCGTCAGCCAAGTGCTGTGCTCCGATGTCTGAGATGTTATTGTGTGAGAGGTCTAACGTGTGTAGCTGACAGTTGTTGTTGTTGATGGCGTCAGCCAAGTGCTGTGCTCCAATGTCTGAGATGTTATTTAGTGAGAGGTTTAACGTGTGTAGCTGACAGTTGTTGTTGTTGATGGCTTCAGCCAAGTGCTGTGCTCCAATGTCTGAGATGTAATTGTATGTGAGGTTTAACGTGCGTAGCTGACAGTTGTTGTTGTTGTTGATGGCTTCAGCCAAGTGCTGCGCTCCAATGTCTGAGATGTTATTGTTTGAGAGGTTTAACGTGCGTAGCTGACAGTTGTTGTTGTTGATGGCTTCAGCCAAGTGCTGTGCTCCAATGTCTGAGATGTTATTGTCTCTGAGGTTTAACGTGTGTAGCTGACAGTTGTTGTTTTTGATGGCTTCAGCCAAGTGCTGTGCTCCAATCTTTGAGATGATATTTCTTGTGAGGTTTAACGTGTGTAGCTGACAGTTGTTGTCGTTGATGGCCTCAGCTAAATACTTTGCTCCTTCATCTAACAACTGATTATACGTGAGGTTTAACCAGCTCAGTTGAGATTCACTACATTTTAACAGTTTACCAATCTCAAGACAACCTAATGGATCAATGTTATTGTTTCTCAAATCTAAATGTGAAATTTGTTGAACATTAATTACATTTACTAACGAAGAGCAATCAACAGCTGTGAGGTGACAATCGAAAAAATTTACACAATTAAAGTTCATTTGTTGAAGTTTTCTCTGTGCTTCTAAGTTCATTCTGCTATTTTCGTTTAAACATTTAATTAATGTTACTGCTAATTCTCGTTCGTCTTCAGTCGGCCAGCAGGTTACTTTCCTTTGCTCTTCATTCTCTGTCCACTGTTCGTTGTAGTCTGCGCTTTCTCTTTCTTCGGTTTTTACAGGAAGAAGGTCCGTGATAATTTCAATTGGTAGGTGAACTTTATCCTCCATAAGTCCTGCTAGAAACTGAAAAACTAGCTGCCATTTGCCGTTCTTGATGTTCTCGGAAACAAAGTTTCTTAATTCTGTTTCACTCAAGTCGCTCGCCAAGTGCCTCGCAGCGAAAAACTCTTGCATTGTTAGGTGAATGAAACAGAATTGCTTCTCATCTTTTAACGCGGCACGACGGTCGGGTAAGCGGTGAAAAAGAGCGCTGCCTTCCATTCCTTGTACTTCGATTCCTCCAAGGATCAGTTTTCCTTCTTGGATTCCTTCAAACGCCACTCTTCCTAGTTTCTTGAATTTCTCCTCCACCGCCAAAGGCAAATTATCTGACAGATAGTTTTCGCGGGTGAAATGTTTATCGCGGAATTCTTTCGTGTGTTTGAAATAAAACACTTTAACCGCAATCTTGTATATCGTGGTTAATTTGGAAGGCAGGGTAACACTATCGGAACTTTCGAACCGCATTATTTCTGACAGACTTGAGCACATGATGAAGCTGTTCACAGGGATATAACAGAGCGAAAGTAAGTTCATGTTGCTGTTGATGTGTCGCCATAACGTTTCGCCTGCTTGCTTGTCATCTCCGGCGAATTTGTCGATATACTCTTTAATTTGCTCGGTTGAGAAGCCAAGGATTTCAAAGCTTTTGTCGAACTTCAGATGTGCGATGCCTGACAAAGCTGTAGGTCTCGTAGTCGTTACAATTGAAGCATCTTTAAGAAGTTTCCCGGTCACAAGCCATTGATAAAGAATTTGGAGCGGCTTTTCATCTTCAATGCCTTTGGGATAAGTAGACGCCTTGGTTTTCTCTTCGTTATGTTCGAATTCGTCGAATCCGTCAAAAACTATGAGAACATATTCAGGGTTCTTTAGGAGGTGATTCCAGACCCCGTCATCCATGTAACGTGTTGGGAAATACTCGGACTGAATCAACAGTTCCCTGAGGCTGAGGTTTTTGGCCGAGTTGAATCTTCTGAATTTTACGAAGAAAGCAGCATTAAAATGGACTTGGGCACCTGATGTCGCTTTGAAATCTTTATTCAATGCCCAGTCTCTGAGAAGTTTGATACAACATAGTGTCTTTCCGATTCCGGGTCGACCGACGATTAAAACTTTCTTACTTTCAACATCCAGAAGGTCTTGCATGCTTTTCGGTTGTGAGTTTTCGTCGCGCGACCTTGGATAAACTTTGAGTTGCTCCTCTCGGTTTTCAGTAAAGTCATGCGTTTCTCTGTTCTGAATTACCACCAGGTTGGTGTAAATCTGATCGAGAGTCAAATTTTTAGCTGTTTCGTGGTCGCCTGGATTACCTACAAAAGGTGATTGGAGTTCTAAAAGTCCTTCGGTCTCTTGAACAATTATTTCCTTTGTGCGTTCGATGAATTCTTGAAACTTTCGTTCTCGGAGTTCTTCAGTGTCTCTTTCAGTGAGTGGCATAGTTTCGTTCGTGCCATCCAGGTGTTGGTTGAGACTTAGATGGGTTTTTAGAAACTTTGAGTCTTCCATGAAACTCCTCTCAATGCATGCCCGTGAAAAAAGGTAGACGGTTTCAACCAGAATCCCAACAACAATAATTCCATTCACCACAAGGACAGCGTACATCCAGAAGGTTTTCTTTACAGCTCGTTGATTGTGACAGTCGAGTAAAGTAGAGTTTTGGGCGTTGTCAGATGAATTGCTTGGCTGAGTGGTTCCATCGGTTAAATAACAGTTAAACTGAGAGGAAAAATTTAAAGGGTAGAGCAACTGAGTTTGTAGAATGATGAAAATAACTCCTAAAACAATTCTTATTGATAGTTGAGAGCAGTAAGCGATGAAAAGCTTGTTTCCAGTTGATGACGCAGTATCTTGGTCGAGCAGTTGATCGACTTTGGGTCTTACTATTTGGGAGTAAATAGCACATACAAATGCGATAAGGAGTAAATTGAGGATTACGAAGCCATAGACCGGAAAACCGAATTTGTTGAACTGCTTCATATATTTCTCGTAACATTTTCCACGGACGATGTCGACGGTTTTACTCTTCGCTCCGTCACAGCGGAAATCCAACCTAGACTCGTTGATTTCCATGTCGAGGAATACGGCGAAGAAGATAACGCTGATCAGGATCCAAAAACACACTGCCACATAATGAACTCTGTGGAAAGTTTTTGGCTCCAAATATTCTAAAACCTTTTCCATTGATATGGTTGGTATCTTTACTCACTTCCCCAGAACGCTGATCAGTTCTGGAGCTTGAATAAACAGCTAATGCGGCCTTGGTCTATTTGTAGCGCATGATAGTACTTTTATTTGATTGGCTTTTTTGGAAACTTTCAACTGTCAAAACGACAATGGATTCTTTATGCATGTTATTGTTCTACATAAGAAACACTTGTCAGAAGCTGAGACGGTTATAGATATCTGCATATGTGCCAATATACGGGACCTCGCTTTCTCCCACCCCTTCCCCGTGCTCATTTTCAGTCGCTTTGTCTTCTCCTTTTTTTTATTAAAGTCGCTGCTGAGGCCCTGAAGAAAAACTCATTGTGCCGATGTAGCTTATTTTGAAGGTTGAAGACTAAATACCGAGTTGCTAGGTGTGGATATTTCATCTGCGTGGTAATTGTTTGGGGAGGAAATTGTAACCCTTGGCTGATTCAAGTCACGATTGGTTGAGGTTTTGCATCTTATTAATTTTGAGGGTGGTGTGAGTTTTTTTAACTAATACCAAAGCGGCTTAGTGAAGCAAAACTAATGCAAATGAAATTATTCTCTCTTCCATCTCCTTTGCCTAACAAAATTCAATGCGGAACCCCAGTAGACTTGATTTAAATTCTGCTGTCAAACCCGGGGAGCTAATGTTGTTTATTTTGCAGCTTTAAGCCTGCTAATTCCTAAGCTACCAAGTATCACCATTTTCTGCAGTATTCACTTGAAAAGAGATTTATATTTCTTACATAATAGACGCTAACACACCAGGGTGTGATTCAGTTCGAAGACTTCTTTTTTAGACGACAATGGGAGACGTGATGAAAGAAACAATTATTAGTCTGTAGACTCTGTGAATTGTCAAGTTAGAGGGCACTGTAATTAACTGATAGGTTTGGCGCCAGGTTAATGCTTGGCGGCAGGATAAAAGAGCTTCAGGACAAATGTCGTGACAATAGCGGAGAGTACTAAAGACAGCATGAAATTTCAGTTCCCCCAAGTGACTTTAGAAGTACAAAACAGACGACATTCGATTCTATAAATAGTGTAATAAACGAAAAGTGTACGAGGGGATGGCAGTTCACTTTCTCTGGGTGTTACTAAACTGTAGATTGGCAGACCGTGGAACCTGCGAAACCATTATTATTTGTTAAAAAGAAGTATTTATGAAATGAAATAGAAACTAAAAATACCTTAACGATTTTCGAAATTTCGTTTTCGGGTATAAAGAAGATAGCGTTAACAGAGAGATATGTTTTTTTATCTCCTTTGACGTCGAATCACAAAAAAACCCCAAGCTCACACGGTGAGCCCGGAAATAAACAACCGCATAAAAAGATGTGGACGTGTTTTGAATAAGACTTTGACAATAAGGATTTGACAAATTTACCCCGCTCAAGTGGTTGTTCGTTTGCATAGTGGTTTTTTTTTTTGGTGAGCTAGGTTAATTTAGCTCGGTTTTAGTTCATCTGCCCAGCCCTCTACATAATCCTTTCTAAGACAAGTCTGTGAGTAACGCAAACTGAATGAATTCACTGGAAGCAAAACGCTGTTAAATCGCTCCGAACACCCCGATCACCCCAAAATTCGGCTTACTGTTATTTGCGAAACGAAGCGAAACGGATGGAAATGAAAATCTGTAATTTGCGAAATGGATCGAAATATGCTAATGTTTGCAAAATAGAAATCGAAGATTGCAGCTTTCTATCAAGCAACATAAGCAACCATAGTCCTATGATCCAGCATCCATGTGAATTAGGTAGAAAGCAGGAAGACACTTCAGATTTATATGTGATCCAAAGAACTAATCAAAACAAGACACTCTAAAACCAGAATCCTTCAATCAACGACAAACTTCTCATGTCAATTCTGGTGTTAAGGATCCTTCTCTCTTTTTATAAACCTCTTGATTTAAGGACAAAGTCAGAAGAAATAAAATTCCCACTTTAAGAAATACTTCTGTAAAGGAAAAAGAGTCAATTTTTTACTTAGGTTTCACTATCTATCGAGTTATTTTCCACTCTTTGTTTGAGCTCTCATATAAGCCCACTAGTGTAGATCATTAAGGACGAGTTTCCCTGGGAACGAATGCCTCTCCAATGGTTAAACATGGCTACGGAGTTGAGTGTTAGACAGAGAATTTCAAGATTTCTTTTGTGTTACCAACGTGAAAGAAAGAAAGAAATTGTTAGGTAAAGATCTACAAATTTCAGAATTTATCGAGGAAGATGATTTGAGGTCCGGAAAACTTCTTGATATTCATTACGACATGTTGGCTTATTTTGTAAACAATGGATTTCCATGATGAGAAATGACTGCTATGGGAGGTATTTCAAAATTTATTGAACGAAGTACAAGGTTAGCGATTACTTTCTATTCATAGATCGATGAGCGTTGTCGCTGCTGGTGTTATGTGCTACCTAACCATGGTTCAAGTCTGGTTAAGGTATTAAACACCATTACCTTAGTCACATATCAGCCTTTCTTTTTATGATCGCGATTGACTGTGTACAATTATTCCACATTGTCTAAACTCATTCACTGTCTAGTGTCTTTGACATGTACAAAATTTAACGTACAAAATTCAGGAATTGTCGTATTCAGAACAAATGATGTGGTCCTATGCAAGAGATATGTCACCAAAATCCTATGGCTGAAAAAATTAATATGTACTAGTTGAATTCGAATGTTGTGGAAAACAGATTGCAAAGTTCTTGTATGACATAATATCTTGTTCGAACGCTTATTGTTTTGCTTGTGAAAGATCTGAGTAGCAAATTTGGAGACTCACTCAAAAAATTTGGACTTGAAGGTGGTTCGTTTTTAAATTTTTCTGCAGACCTAAATTTAGTCTTTGTTGAGTCATTTATGCGTTTTGTTTGGAGCAATATTGGACTAAAATCTTCCTTTTATTCCAAGACTTAATGCTTAAGTTACTGATTAGATGTAACCTTCCTGTATACTTTTCTAGAAATTGAAATCTTTTCACTTGTGTTGCAATGCAGTTTAAGTCAACTAGAGCTCTCAAGTCCATTTGCTGGCAAAGAGTGAGATTTCACAGGCATCACCTATCAAGGGTGGAAGGGGAAGAGGGTATGGGGGCATGTTCTCCTGGAAAATTGTAAAAAAATGAAATAGCAAAAATGTGCATTTCTTAAATCTAAGAGAGAATTTCTGCTGTTAAAAAGTGTGTGAAATGAGTCCATAGGGCAGGGAACAAGGAGTAAATTATTATATTTGGAAGGATAATTTTATAGGTACCAAATGAAAGCAGCAGTTTGCTATCTCAAAATCAACAGAATAAATGCAAAACCTTATAGAAGTGAAAAATAATGACTTTAGCCATGAGAGTGTAAGAATGAATTTGTTTGTGTGAGTCTCACACCTAATGTGTCAGACTTGAGAGCTCTAAGTCAACTCAACACGATGAGCATACTACAGCATTTTTTACTTTTGTTTCTTTTATGTACCTAGTAATTTACAAGGGATTCTTCAATGCATGTCATTTATTTATTAATGGTACTGTAAATTTTTAGTGGGTAGGGAGGTTCAATATAAAAGGAAATGACAGGATGGGGGCTGGAAGAATAAAATAACATTTCAATATTACAAAAGGAAAAACATTTCCAAACTTGAATATGTCTGTTCTATCTTTAGAATGATGTTCACCAACCAAGCATTAAGCACAAAAGCAAAATCAAATAGTAGAATTTAATACAATTAAAATAGAGGAACTGTATTTTCAAGAGGGTGAAAAACAAAGAGACAATTGTGATGCTGTAATCAATGCTGTCTCCACTGCCTTGGGTGTAAACTTCACCAATAACTATTTTGTTTTGATCAGGCAACCCCTTGAGGAGGCTATAACACTGTTTAAACAACAGCTCAACAGAATTGCCCATTACTCCTGTGAAAATAACCTCATGTTTATGATAGATTTTGTTTTCATTGCATTATTTCAACACCACAAGCTGTATCAATTTCTTCTGACACAAGAAAAGAGCTGATGACATCACCAAGTGTGAGCTGGTTACTCAGCCACCCTTGGTTCCACAACCTATGAGGGATGGTGTACTTTAGAGTGTTTGGGATGAAGAACAGAGAATAAAACACATTGAAGAGATGGAACAAAAATGCATACAGGTATGTGACTGTATGTGCAACCATTGACTAGGTAGCAACTTGAAGTTAACTTTAGAAGTAATGTCCATTCTAAGTAGTTGTACTGCCTAACTCACCTCAGAACCTTTCTTACTTGAATCAGTCAAATTTAATGTGCATTACGCTCTTTGTCAAGAATTACACATGTTATTGGAATAAAAGTGTAACAATATGATGTATGTACAAAATCAAGCAAGGTTGTTTATGGTCAACTGGGACTGACAGGTAAATATTGTCTGTCCTAACTTTAAAGCCATCCAGAAGTACTGGTTATTAAAGAAGATGCATTCCCTCTAATGTTTTCTCAAATGTTCCTCTTTATTGGAGTAATTAGTGCTACAAAAGAAAACATAGTTAAGCACATCTATTTCATTATGAAATGGGTGATCATTAGACAGTTGAAACTGTATTGTGACACTATATTAAACAGTCACCCTGTAATAAAGGGGTCAGTTGTCAGTTTTTCTCCCCTTAATTACTGTTACAGTAATTTTCACCTGTATTAAGGGGCCATGGTCATCCTTGACTGAGTCCCAGCTTCCTGTTTTTATTGTCTTCTTCTTGCATGTGTTGAACAGTCACTTAAGCAGAATCTCTCAAATAAAACTAGGAATAGTACTTTGAGTTTAAATGTGCTCAACATGTTGCAAATTATCTAATTCTTCTTAGAACAGAATCTCTCAAATAACACTAGGGATAGTACTTTGAGTTTAAATGTGCTCGACATGTTGCAAATTATCTAATTCTTTCTGGACAGAATCTCTCAACTAAAACTAGGAATAGTACTTTGAGTTTAAATGTGCTCAACATGTTACAAATTATCTAATTCT